AAGTTTCGTTTGGGAGTGAAATTACAATATTATCGCCAAGAAGAATTTGAGAATGATGACAAAAATTCCCTGACTTTTCCCTGACTTTTTAATAAATTGCAAATTTCCCTGACTAAAATCCAAATTCCCTGACAATTCCCTGACCTTGAAAAAAAATCAGAATTCCCTGACTTTTCCCTGACCGTGGGAACCCTGTTGCAGCAAAGAAAAAAAAATCTAGATAGAAATCGAGAAGTTACAGGGTCATCTGTAAAGAATGTTTAAGGGTGTCTGGCATGGAAATACTTATGCAACAAGTGACAAACCAAAGGTTAAATGAACCCCTTATCGACTCCCCATATCATGTACTTAAGAATGCTCAAGACTTAACCTGATGAGCGCTAAGAACCAGTGTCTAAATCCTTTATTCTACTCTCTGTAGACCTGCTAGACAAATGATCACTTCCCAGTATAAGCACGAAGCTAAACAATCCATGTTTGAGCTCCAGAAGTACATTTGTTGTTTCTCAAGCGGTAAAAAGAAAGCGATAGTTTATAATAGTCATTCTGTGGATGGATCTGATTATTGATAAGTTAAACTTACATTCCATACGATGTAATAAACACTCGCATGTGTTCCAATAGGCTCACAACCTCAAGCGAATGAGTAGTTCCACAAATATTAAAACAAGCTAGTTGAAGCTAATGAATCATACAGTGATTCTGGAACTCAACTACGTAATTTAAAAAACATCCTTTTGCCTATGGAATGACAATGAAATAAATAAAATAATTTCTCGCAATCTCACTCCGCAGTCTTCTGCAAATGACCTGCTCCAAAAACATTTTAATAAAGAATACTCTGAATGTTACCCAGCGAGAGAATCTCTTTTTCACTCTCCTTCTGCCAGCAGGGTAGGTATACATGTCTGAGAGTTAATTAGAAATGTCTAGATATCGTGATGTTCATGGAACTCAAAAATGTGTCAATTATCTAATTAGGTTGAAATATCCATGAAACAGATAAGCCTATATTTGTCTGAAAAATCCATGTGCTGTCAATTTGTTCACGAAAGCACTCTTTTTTTCATGAAGACAAATGCAAAGAAAAGATGGTTTTAAAATATTGTCTGCAAATGATACATCTGAGTAAATTATAGCTCAACTAGAATTCAGTTTTCGTTCGTTTACTCGCAAACGTGGTTCTATAAGAAAAAACCTTGGTAATTTTTGTTTTATGGCATTCGTTTGGGTAGAACTGCCCACGAGCAGACGAAGTATATGTACGATATATGAGTGTATTGTTCGAATGTCTTAACGTGCAGCAATACTTGAATTCAATAAATGAATGAAACAGAAATTAATGATACGTGTTTTTTGTATCTTAGTGATATTTGTATTTCTGACCTGAGCTGGTATTGATGGCCAACGAAGCTTCCTCTATCATCAACACAACGCCAAACCCAACCAAGGCGAACGCGAAACGACAGTCCATTGAAGAAGTTTTCCAATAGATGTACGTTATAATTCACAAATCTGTGGTTTCACTTGGTAGCCTCGATTCACAGACTTCCTGCGAAGATATCAAATTAATTAATATATTTTATGCTCACACTCCGCCAACAGTTATCAATAAACGTAACGTTCAGTTAATTACGATATGTGTGATCTATTAACACTTTGTAAAAGTGATATCCAAACAACGTTATTACCTATCTCAATTAGTTGCTCGTTAGTGGATTGAATTACAACTTGATTTCCAAAGGAATTCAAGCTTCGATAACGAAGGAATTTCTCCGGTCTTTGAGGAGAGCGAGGATAGAGAAAGGATCTACATAACATCGCCTACTTTAGGATAATCACAGCAGTAGCTGTTGATACTCATAAGTAAAACCATAAAATTCACAAAAACACTCCTGGAGAATTTTTTCCAATTTCCTAATCATGGCATTTTAAAAAATATGTCAACCAATGAACATTATTAAAAATGAGAAACTTATTTAGGCAAAAAACGTGCGAAAATAATAAGAATTTAAGTAGCAATTTATTCATGTAAAATATATAAATATTTGGAAAGCATTCTTGAAATTTCTGTATCTGCGATAGATTTTATTGTTAGCCTTTGAACTTCATGTATTGACAACGCTTTTTTTTTGAAAAGCAATGAAGATTGGAAGAACAAAGACAATAATGATGTCTTAAAACAGAAAGGCTTCACAACCTCTGTTAACCAAAGGTCGGTCTATACTTCACGCCTTTTCATTTTATGAACATTTGTATACTCCTTCCACTTAAATCTTTGGATTCCAGCAAGAAATACGTAGACTTATGACCACAATATGTAACACTCTGCAATCATTCCAAGAAACATTTGCCTTCGTGTTGATAACAGTGAACAATAGCTGACACTTGAATCAATCATTAACAATTTGAAGAAGTTCATTTGTGGCCATTGTTCGTTTTACTCACGTGGTCTCCCTATTACGAGATGACGTTTTACCCCGTCTCTAGACCATAATAATCCTTTTCACACTGCTTTTGTTCTTTAATTATGACTATTGTTCCTGTATTCTCTAAGGAATCAAAAATTTTAATATGAAAGAATTTTAAAAGCTATCATGGTATAGAGTCTGGGGTAAAACGTCATCTCGCTTCAGGCTTATTGAATCAAAATTATGTTATGCGAATCTCGTTGGAAGCTTGAATATGAGCACGTCACGCGTGACAAGTAAACGCTATAATGAACTATACAAAATAATCTTTATTAGATTAAATGGTTAGTAACCTGCTTATTTTCCTCGATTAATACAATGATTTGAAACAACTCATATCAGGAACTATTTTTAATGGTAAAATGTATCGCAAGTATTTTTCAGTCTCACTGGTCTTTTATACTCTTCGTTTGCACGTTATCGCGGCCATGTTGGTACCATTTAACAAAATATTTCTTATTAGCATGCCTTGTTAGCGGTACCACAATGGCCGCCATGTTTTTGTTTTTTGGCTCTCTTGGGAACACTGGCAACCCATCAATACAAGGAAACCTTCGAAAACCAGCTATTCTTGGATCTTGGAATGACCTTTCTCTGCAGGTCGCCTTCTTTTAAACAGGTATATATATTTTTTGATATATACATATCTTCTATCTCCTAGCGTGCCTTGTTTAATGAAGATTATATAGTAACTAATAAGTAGCATATATCCTATGGTATAAACTCAGCACGAGAAAAAGGTCCTTTGCATGATAAATATGAACCGAATCAGGTGTTGCTATATTTAGTCTGCAAGTGGGTTGCCAAAAAAGGGGCGCGAAGCGTGAAGTTCTATCTTCAGAAATCTCATCATCACATTCATCTTAAAAATTGGTCTATTTAAAAAACCCGATTACGCGGAGCAATTTCATCTGCAACTTGCTCGGGTATTGCGATACAAGTTGCAGGAGCGTTGCAGCGTGTAACCTATATCAGTTCGCGCAAAAATGTTGTGAGACAAGTTGCAGCAATCGTTGCCAAAAGTAGAAATCGTTTCTACTTTGGCAACGATTGCTTCACCGTGTAATTGCGCATTAAGTGCTAATTTGGTCTAGTACTTTAGCACTAATTGAGAACACTTTTTAACTCACGCACACTAACACTACATTAAATATTCTATGCACGCGACACTAGACTCACATGTTACTTTTACGGATAAAGGAAACCGGGAGAACCCGGAGAAAACCCGGAGAAAACCCGCGAAGCAAAGAGCGGAACATAAACAACATTGAAATTCAACTCAAATCAAGTACTAGCTTGGACTAGGCGACTAACTAGCTTAGACGAGGGGGCTGTTTCAACTTCTCTCTGATCCTATTTTTCTCAACCAAGAAGTCAAGGGAGCACTACCTGATCGAAAGGTCGGCCTTCTTAGGAGAATTCCTGAATCACCTGTTAGCGCTTAATAATCACTCATAAGTGAATACATTGTATAAGGAATCCGAAAAACAAAATTTTGTAACACAAAAAAATTTTCAATTCGAGAAAGTATAGTTTGGATTACGTACCTCTCATTAATTCTTGTAAAACATAATATAATATGTAGTTATTTTTTTAAGTATCGTAGTATTACAACCAGGGTATTTTGGAATGGAGAATACTATATAGGAAGCGCAATCCAGTCAAGGACATTTAACGAGATCGGGCGAAAACCTCGAAAACCAAAGCGCCAAGAATATGCGAGATTTGCGGCCGCAATCTGTTTTTTAATGACCCAAAGTGCGGCGAATTTGGGAACATAAAACAAAGTCTGCCTATCATTTTATTGTATGAGCGGTCGTAAAATATTTTGGGAAAGAGAGATTATTGCGTCGCGTTAATGGGGACTAGGTTCTTCTTGTTTTATCAAAAGTCGCCGTTCCTTTTCCTCTTGGAATGAAGAAAAAAGAAAAAACCACAGTTATGCATGCGTTTTGTTTTACGAAACCCTAGAAAAAGCCACTAGAGAAAAGCTTAAAATATCTGCCTTATTCATCTAAGAATCTCTTGCTAAGATTTTATTTATTCAACATTTTTTTTCGCCGTCTACTATAAGAAATAATAATATAGCTAGAAGGAGAACAAAAAAACGTTATTAATATTTTTATTAATATAAGACTTAGTTGAATAAAAATCTATAGGTGTTCTCCTTTAATGTGAGTGGTTAAGAAATATTTTTTTGAAGTTTGAAGCTTCGGGAAATAAATACCATCTGCACATCAACTCACACCACATTAAGATGAATCTTAGCCTGCGTTAAGATAATCTTAGCCGGTATTTTGGAACAATATTTTTTTACAAGATTGTGGTAATTGAAGGTAACCAAACGACAGAAAAAATAATTGGGTTTGTACGTAGTTAACGTATCGTCTGTGGAAAAGCGCTAGTTGCTATGACGTAAGCTATTGTCATTACTGTGCCAACCAGATATCGATTCTGCTGATGAAACAAAGTAACCTGCTAAGAACTATCAGTAAATCAAAGATTATATTTATTTGTCTCACGATTGTGGCAGTTGGATGGACCGCAATCGTGGAGACAAATAATTAAATCTTTGATTTATATTTAAGATGACTAGTCCTTTCCATTGTGATAATGGTTGAGCACTAGCTACAAAATAATATAGCAATGCTAACATTTGTAAACACCAACAAGCGCTATATCTTTTGCGCATAGGTAGATAGTCATTCATCCGTGGTACTTCAGGGGGTTGGAGCACACGAAATAATTCATGCTTTTCAGGGTTACGCAAAGATTCCTGTCAAGATAGTCTTATTCATTCAGGAGTAAAATGAAAACGCTGGTATCATTGTACAAATTGCACAAGGTGGTAGGATATTCGCTGTTAAGCTAAAACAAAACAGTTTTACCTTAAAGAAGACTAAAGAAAACGGTATGTAAAAGAACAATGAACCAATTATTATATAAGTTGAACCTTTTGAAAGTTAATTTGGTGAAAAAACGACAATTAACTAAAAAATCAACTTTTTTGTGTTTACGCCTCTTTCTGCGCACTATTTACAAAGTGAAAAAGGTTTTCGTAGGCAAACAACATTACAACTTTTTTCTTCATATTTTTCTACAAATTGATCAATCTTGACACACACACAAAACAAACACTAGAAAACAAACATTTTGCATAATAAAGCTAAACAAGCTAGAATTGAATTAATTTAGAAATAATATCCCAAGAAAGAAAGAATAATTTTTTTTGAAGGAGAGGATCAGTAAGTAATATAAGTGTGTATAAATCTGCAGGATGCGATGTCCAAGCGATGTACAAAAAGTATCGATAATATCATCACGAGAGTAAAAATCTCTCAATTTTGTTCGAGAATAATATTTCGTCTTTTCTTCAAAAACAAAAGTGCCTCTACCAAAATGTTTTATTAAAAAAATACCTGGATCGAGATAGACCTCCAAGGTTTCTAATATCAGTTTCTAAGCTTGTTTGGATATGAGTCTATTGCATTGTAATTTCACATTTATATGTTCGTCCTGCACTCATGCAAGATTAAATTAGTTTTGTGTTATTATTTAAAACAGTCTCAGATATAATTACAAAATTTAAGTTGATAAGGCAGGTTAATTTCCTAGAAAATCTCTTTTCCTTTCAAAAATATTTATTCGAAGATTATTAATATTCGTACTCACGAATATGCAAATATATCGAATAACATGAAAAATATCAATACTTTTAGCTAAAACGCAGACCTTAAGAGTCTACTCATAGCCCATTAAAAAAGGAAAAAATCTAAATTTATAAAACAGTTCATGCATAAGTGGAAAACGTAAGGTACTGAGTGACAGCACGTGCACGGTACGACATACCCGCGCAACACTGAAATGGTAACATCGAAGAGGGAAACATACGGTATGACATGCCGTAGCATTGAAATGGCTTTCTATAAGAATGGTTTTTGTATGAGTGGGAAACGTACGGTATGACATGCCGTAGCAATGAAATGGCTTCCTTAAGAATGGTTTTCGTATGAGCGGCAAACATACGGTATGACATGCCGTAGCATCGAAATGGCTTCCCATAAGAATGGTTTCGTATGAGTTTGAAACATACGGTATGACATGCCGTGGCATTGGAATGGCTTCCCATAAGAATGGCTTTCGTGTGATTGGGAAACATAC